TATATATATATTCCCAGTATTCAGCTGCACCAGTCCGATTAACGAAATTAGGCGACTACATTTATCACCGGCTTTCGGAAAAGCATAATGCAAACGCCAACGAACATATTACTAATGACGTATAAAAGCCAAAACATGTCACAAAAGTAGATAAGAATGCCAAACCGTAAATCACTGAATGAAGTTTTGTTTTTCACTACACACTATTATGTGGTGCACAGGAGACGGGGTGGAACACTATGGTCACGAGGACTCATTGTCTGCGAATGGAATCCGGTAACCTAAGCCCCGCGGTACTTAATTGGAGTGGTGAATCACATAAGATCCCACTAGCATTGGCGTGATATTAACCGAGGAGCGCATTGAAGCTACCTACCTACCACCACCAAATTTGGATGGCAGTAGGGGGCGGGGATGTTGGAAGCTCGAATGGTGAAAACAAACAGTGTGACAGAAAAAAACAAGGTGATATGATTGTTAAGAAACGGTGTGAAGGTCAACAATCAATAATATACAGGGTCAAAATTTGGACTCCAAACCTCTCGGGGTCCCTCAGGGAGGTAAAAAATGATGGCTCATTCGTCACTGTCGAACTCTGTACTATTGACTAGGTGCCGCAAATATAACTGAGCAAAGCTCTGGAATTGGGATCGACCTTGAGAGCTTGGGGATTGGTCACGAAGTCTCTAGAACAACTTCAATACATGAGGGCTTCGAATGGAATCGGGATCTTAAATTTACGATGGAACAAATTCAATATGCAAAGTTTAAGGCTATTCTAGAGTATTCTGTACAATCCGACGAGTACACCGAGTTGTCCGAAACCCAACATACATACAAATCACAAGCAGCTCAGAAAATGAGGATTAGTAGCCAAAAAGGTCAAACGTTGATCTTGCTTTTAGAAAAGGAAAGAGTTTCAACTCTCAGAATAGGTGGAGGTGGATGCTTCAGTTCGCACAAAAACCAACTTAGAACAATTTCGGATATGAACTGCAAAAACGCCAATAAATTCTCGCGATTCATGACGTCCTGGACAGTGAGCGACAGGTTTGAATCGTTTCGGTTGACACTGAAGTCACAGATTCAGGTTATTCACATGGCTAACGAGACATGTGATATGTTTGACAGTCCGGCTTTGAATTCGTATGCGTGTCCAGTTAGTTCTCGGACAGTCCACACAACCCACGAGGCCAATGGATCGAATGAGATGAAACAGTCTCCGGGATTGTCCCGGAGACGTGAAAATGGTGCATCCGGGGGATTCCGGGGTTTCCCGAGCACGGATAAGTGACAGTGACAGTTAGTGACAGTGAAAGTTCAGATGCCTTGGGACCGGGGATTGGAGTGCGGATGGGGATGGGGTAATGGATTCCAGATAAACGACTCCAGAGATAGCATCAGAGTAAATAACATGTCAACTAGATGTCAGATCAACAAGAAATGTTGCACAGAGAATGACGCCCGTTCTGGATAATATGGGCCATAGTGGCCGGAAGTGCTTGGGAAAAGAAGAACGCGAATGATGAAACAAGAAAGGAGCTCAGTCAATCTTGCGCAATGTGAATAAAACAATAGACAGTCCGTAGACTGAACGCTGAAGAATTCCAAGGTGGCCAGGTTCTGTTAGTACATGTAATGTGTGTGTGTGTGGAGAACGGAAGGGGGGGGAGTGAGAGGGTACCAACGAGTGGTATAGAATTGGATACAGTTTTAAACACGAATTAGTAAGTCGATCATCATTAAAGACAGATTTGAAAATATTTATGATCAAGTACAACACAAACGAAATCCGGATATAGTTGAGTTATCGTACGGCGAGGAGATTGCGAACAATATACAACTGGAGTATCCCGCATGTCAACTGTCTGCCAAATAGATCCTGCCTACTGTCCTCTTCCGGCGATGGTCTCAGTAAACCGTGAAAGCACAGCTGGTTCGACTGCTTTGTGAGCCACATTCAGTATTGGCTCCGTCTTGTTAAATCACTAAAAAAAGTCAGTGTCGAAGAAGTTCAAGAGTTAACATCACATACGGAAGACCGAAAGTGACATTGCCAGTTCGCGGTGGTAGTTGAAGCGGGAATACGAGAAAATACCCTAAAGATACAAAGCGATGGGGGTACAAAATCATTGTTGTGAAGCAACAGTAAGAGGGACTGACAACCTGGTCCACAAGGCAGAAGGAAATCGGATATGAGGCATTAGCAAAACTTACCGAATCGCATGTAGCCTGGCCGGGACGCGTCGTTTGACATGTTAAAACTCTGTTGCGTGGAATTCGGGTCGGCATCCGAATAGGTCCCTGCAGAGATTGAGTGATGACGTCTAGGTGCAGCCACGTCCTGATCAAACTGTGACAGATGTAGGACGGGAGAGAGAGAGAAAAGTAAAGTAAATCCAGAGAGTTTATGGTGCCGCACGGGTGACAGGTACCGGAAACAACGGCGCTCCGGGACGGAATCGAATAATCTGATTGACTGAGAATGTGTACTCGATTTGTCCGACAAACCTTAAACGGGTATAGGACGACAACAGCTCAGGACAACAGGAATATTCCATATTTAGGTATTGCGGTTGATGAGTGACCAACAGATAGGTCGTCTACGGGAGGAGCTGGCGAAACTCAATCTCAAACCTTCTATGACGAAACCATCACTGACAGTGTTTCGTGAGGTTATACAGTCGTCGTATATGCATCCTGTTTTGCCTTCATTCATGTTTTAGTCTTCATTCGTGGATTTATAGCCTTCATATTAGTTTGCTTAGTAACAGAAAGGCGGTTCCTGAAAACCAAGGCGGATTGATTACGGCCCCACTTTGGGAAATACTAACGCGTGACTTTCCTAATGGGATAAAAGCACACCACAGAGAAATCGGAATTAGCGACTGAGAGAGCCAAATTGAAATCCGTGCACATTGCAGATATGCGGTCAGCGGCTCAATTAGGCAATGGAGTGTATCGTGTATCCCGTCCGAAGGGCGTGTATGATCTTCAACAACGCACCATGGCAGTTCGGGTTTCTGATTCACTTTTTCATCCCATCAGCGTATCACGAGGAGTTCCAAAGGGATCCGTGCTGGACTCTCAACTTTTCCTTGTTTTCATAAACGCCCTAACGGACATTCTCGGGCCACACATTAATATTTGCAGACGATGCAAAAATACGGAAAACGGGGGACTCGCTAGAACTCCAAAGAACACTTAATGCTACCTATCAATGGTTGATCGAAAACGACATGGAATTTATTGCAAAATGTACGATGGCATCCTTTTGACACAAAATTCGATTTCTGTATTTCCTAGGAGATCAACAACTTCCGTACGTCTCGAATGAGAAGGATTTCGGCGTCATTGTTCAAGACGACCTAAGCTGTTCTTCAAACTGCTCCCGGGCATCGTCTACCGCTGTGAGACATGTTGGTTTGCTAAAACGAGTATGTGGCAAATTTGAACCTACGCTGTTCCCACGATTGTTATCAGCTTACATTCGATCCCACAGAGAGTATGCTATTCAAGCATGAAATCCATGGCTGCAACGCGATCAGAAGATTCTGGAACATAAACAAAGAATGGACACCAAAATGGTCAAAGGACTGCATTCCAAGAGTTATACGGAAAGGCGGGAAGCACTGCAACTGTACTCCACACAGTATCGCCGCATTCGAGGAGATTTGATCTTGGTATATCAAATAACGCAGAACCCAGAGCATCCATGTCGTCCACTCTTTTCCTTGTCGCCAAACAGTCACGTGCGGGGGCACGCATTCAAATTAGTGCTCCAAAAATGCCGGCGTCATTCATTCGCTCTCAGAGTGTGCATTCATTGGAATTCTCTACCAACACACGTTGTCTCTGCGCCCACAATTGATTCATTCAAGCACAAACTGGATGAAGCTCTGAAAATTCTTCAACATCCGTAGACGCGCACGAAAAAAGGACAAATTGTGACATTCATCTACTTTGTATGAACAGTGAACCGATTCATCTGTGCCAAATCCTATGGGACTAGAAAAGCAAGTGCTTGTGAGTATTTCTCATAAGAAAAACGTTGACTTTGACTTTGATCCGACCGTCCACTCAACGCATCGCATCGTATCACGGACGCAAATCACCAACACGATATATTGAGGAGTAGACTTTCTGTCAAACAGCCGGTGTTAGGTGTCTCGAATCAATGCGTTACTCGGCTAACTTGGGCGCTTGAATAGTGCAACACAGCACAACACTGTCAACAAGTGGAGCGAAACACTCAAGCATGAATTTAACCGTTTTAATTCATATATACTGCGTTGGTATCTTGTCTGTTTCAGGCCTATGAACAAATAATAATAATAATAATAATAATAATAATAATAATAATAATAATAATATGTGTAGTTCTCGTATAAACCACAGAGAGCAAGTTCACACTCAATAGATTGCTTCGTCCTAAACATAGGACAGCTTGATTTTGTCTGCTATCTGTGGTAGCCATGACGGAATGTGAATGAAACTTGTATGTGTGTGCCCCTCCCCTCGGTTGTTTTCTAACTGAATTAATTTCCAAACAAAATTAGTTGTGGTGGTGGTGGCTGTTTGACTCATCACCGGACACAAGTGAAGTTGCGATAGAAATAACTCATACCAGGAGGCTGTTTTCCAGCACGAAACCATCCTGTTTCATCATAGTCGTAGCTGATAAATGCCGGCATCAAAAAAGTGGCGCAAATTGCGTATGTCGCCCAGATTTCAACCGAGTGGACAAAAATATGTGTGAGCCATTCTTATGTGAAAGGTGCACCAAAACTTCAGAGTTTACACCACATAACATGAATTAGAGGCATTGTTGATTGTCGGAGTGTAATAATATGGACATGGACATGATGCGTCATAAAGTGGCTTCATTGAGTAAAGTACACGTGTGTGTGTGTATGTGGAGGGGGTGCAATACTTTTGTGGCGATAAAAATTGTTTTTTCTGTGACTTGTTTTGCTTATAATTAAAGATAATTTGATGCAATGTTGTATAACGACTTTCAATTCTCAAAAATGATGATGATTGTGGCTGTGGGAGTGAAGATAACCCACAAATCTAGAAGATAGGCGGGGGGAGGGGTTATTACTTTGGTCATTGGGTGTATGTCGACAGTTGGAACTGTGCACACGGGAGATTCATTCAAAATTTCAAGAAAATAAATTTCAGTTTCACTTAGTCTTTCACTGCTGTACACCACTCATTCAACTTCTTTACCTGTTCCGACACAAGCACACACACACATATACAAGCACAGGTACATTCTACCGTTTGCTCACCGGTTGTCTCTGTTCGTCCAACTGTGGATTGGAATGCGCCTCGCCAAATTGTGATCCGTCGCCTGTTGCACCGTCTCCCTGATCATTCAACCCTGAACCATTGTTGCCCATCTCAGCTGTGGTTCGTTGCTGCTGCTGCTGCTGTTGTTGTTGTTTGCGTCGACGTCTACGATGATGTCTGTGACTTCCACCCCCGGCCGGACTCCCATCCGGTCCGGTCCCGTTCCCGTCACCTGTTTGCATTCCCGAGTCCACAAAACCGGCCGTCCCGGGTCCGGGCTGGAACAGAGAGAAATGAATGACGTCATGTTTTGTGCTGACACAAAGATACACAAACACACACATAAAGACAAAGGCGGATGGAAAGAGATAATTGACGGACTTAAATCGATCGATGCAATCGGTAAACATCACACATTTCGTGATGAGCGTTGGTTTTCTCTCACTGTCGAAATTGATTGTAACCATTCGGGTAGTGAGTCAACGTGGTATTTTTGTTCGACTAGCAAACCCCTATACTTTCACTAAAAGCACCTCAAAACAGGTGTGTGTGTGTGTGTGTGTGCGTGCGCGCGCGCAACTCGATTGCGTCAGTGTCACTTGGCTTCACATGAACCAACCGGTTGTCCTGATCTGATGCAACATGAAAGGAGCGTGGAGGTGGATTGATGCGTAACCCAAAAGTGGTAGAATGTGCGTGCTCATTTAAGACATCAATCGGAGACAGAAATCCAGATCATGTGTAAACACCACAATTCACGAAATATCACTAGCTCAAGCACACAGTAAAGCATATGGTCGGAAAAAATAATCTTAAAACTGCAGCTCGACGAGATTACAGAATTTTGAAATAAGGTTTATCAAAACAAAATAGTTGTACCATCACGACGAGACTGTATCTCGACGTGGGGTGATGGCTTGTGTGCCTCCATGACCCTACGGGCTACACAGGATGGCTCCCCACAGCTGCGAATCCAATCATGCCTGAAAGGTTAATGGGTAGAGGCAAGACGAAGATCAGTCTCACAATGCCAGCTGCTTGAGCACCTCCTGGCTTCCTTCGTCTATCCACACCCACCTCTGGAGAGATCACTCCAGTAAATAAACACGATGAGGGGAAGTTTACCGGTCAAAAAAAAACCCTGCTACATGGATGTAGGAGCGGGATATCTGGGGCTTCCTCTCGACGATGGGAGAGGTCTTCGCACTTCATTGGAGAGCTACCGCCCGCCCAAGCTGGGCAGCCCCCAGCCAATAAGGTGCTGTCTCATCCACATACCGCTTGTCTCATTGGGTGCATGAAGCTAAATGCCGATCCCGAAAAGCGGACCGACAATCAACGCGTCAGCGAGCAACAAACTTCACCGAAATTCAAAGGCATTGCGTGACAGGTCTCTCGAGGCTCCCACACGGATGCTTGGTTCACGCCCCCACGATGGATTTACGCCCTACTGCCTTGTGCGTCAGACTTGAGTCAAAGACCCCGGTTAGGGTTCCCAAAGAAAAAACCTCAAATTCCCGCTGTCTTGCGAGTCAGACTTTTGAGTCAAAGACTCCGATTGGGGCTACCGCGAAGTATGCCGTACTCTAGAGTCTTAGGCACCCATTTGGAAAACCATCCTTCCCATCCGTCTAGTTCTTCTCAATCCCAAATGCCTCCTGTTTACGAAACTGAGCTCAGTTTGTACAATCGTCCGTTTGAATGAACAGTGGAAGAAAGACAGAAAAATTTTAAAAAAAATAGAGTCGAAGAGAAAATGGATGATTTTTGGGACTAATGTTGCGAACAAATTGAGATGCACGAACACCACTGTTTACGGCACTCAGCCATATATCACACTCAGTGTCTCTAAACACCGGTTACGATCACCCCGAATTCCTCATTTGAGGAGCCTAGCCCGACCCCCATGTAACCCAGTGCCCTGGTGAGAGTTTTCATACCCGGTGAGTTTGACCATGTTTGATTTTATTCACCCACACTATCTAACTCGGCAAACAGAACGCACAGGGAACCCCTATATGGCGACATGCCCCAATCAACGCAGACCGTGGAAACCGGTCATTTGGCCCCGGTTCGTTAAGCTGCTAACACAGGGAAAGACTGAACGAATTGATTGCATAAACATCGCGGATGCGAAAATTCACAGAATGGAATGAAAAATCTGCAAACGGGGGAGGGAGGGGGCAGGGCGGGATAATGTCGAACAAGATTTGTCATCGTGATCATCAAGTCCGAGATCACTGTGTATGAGAAGATACTCACTTGGTTTTCTTCCGGGAGCGGATTGAGTGGCTGATGTGGATTAGACTGACCCATGTCTTGTTGACTGAAATACGAGTAGATAGATTCTCCATCGGTTGGCCCGAAACCATGAGGACTGGGTACCGAAACAGAAAAATGGAATGTGAGGAATGAGGGAGGAGGAGGTGGGATGGGAATAGGGTGAACAGTTTAACGTGTCCGGGTCGGTTGAACATTGATATGAAAAATTTAAACTTTAAAAGGAATTGCCGCGTCTTGGAGATGTCCAAGAGCTGAGAAGAGGATATTTTAGTGAAGGTTGATCTGTCCTGTAGAAGATTTACAATCCCCATTGGCCAGTCCATTATGCACTTTGTCCACACTATCCTCGAGTCGATTTCTACGGATGCGTACGGATATGGATGAGACGAAATGATGGACCAGATGGCGACGGTGTATATAGACAAATACAATAATAGATCTTAGCATTGCACTACGCATTACCAGGAAA